AGTAGCTGTGTCGCTAATCCTTAGTGATTCGATTAGTGTTTCGTGCTATGTTCAACGTGGTTGTTGATAAATTTTAAGTGGTCTTGGATCACACTGGATCCGGATTTACTATCAACACCCAGCAACTTGTAATCTTTTTTTGCAGGTGTATTTATTAATGATGTAGGTGTTTACACAATTTCTAACATTTTTAACTTGTACATAATCTTTCAGAATTTTCGTTGTTTAATGCGTGGAGAAAACACAAATCGATTCAAATTCGGTGAAATAATATAAAACACAACATGCGTGTTTAATTCCGAGTTGGTTGAAGAAAAAAAACAACGAGTTTCATATGGTCTAGGGATACGCCATATTAAATGCTTTATTACATACCCTATCAACTATGATCTCTAATATTTAAAAAAAAATAGGTTTAAAGTGTGAACCAAATTTAAAACTTATAGCGGTTTATAAAAATTCCATTAGATGCGTCCAAATATATCGACGTTGACGCCAGAGAAAACGCAAATAGTTGTAATCTCAGTAAGTGGTACACAAATACAAAATAAACTCAAGCTTCAATCGGCAGGTTAACCATGTAAGATTTAGGTGTATTACATATCCATTTATACTGGGCCTTTTACATAGAGAACGAAATGCCTGTAAAACTGAAGACAGTCCGAGTATGCCCAGCGATTTGTCGTCTCTGCTCGTGTTTTCTTCGATTCAGATTTTATTAATTTCTTCTGAATCGAGTTCAGAAAAGTAAATCCATGTTTCAAGACCTACGATAATCTCATTCTCTTTGATTTGACCCTTTTATTTTTCATTAGCAATTATTAGTCAATCAAACTATATCAAGGAATGTAAGAAATAACTAAATAAACATATGTCATGTTCAGTTACGAATACAGACATAACTTATAACTGCCTGATTCAACAAAAAAGAATCCAGGCGACATCTTGTTTTCAAAATTGAAATAACCTTTGAATGACCGTATACTGGCAATTGTTAGGAATGAAAAATCCTCCGAGCTTTTTAACTTCTTTCTTAAAATACACTTTTGCATCATTTTCCAGCTTTTAGGAAAATCGTAATCTTCATATTGGGATTAACTTTTTCTAACAATATCGGTTCCCTTAATAATTGTAGAGATACTGGTCAACACTGCTCTGCCCAGGTAATTATCGGCACTTCAAGGAAAATATCTACTGGATAAACCGACCTGTTTCTCATGATTTCTTGGTCAGCATTTTTATCTCAACTAATTTCTGGGGACCAATTCAATTCTGTTAAACCCACTTTGATTGTTGAGGTTGATGATTTCGAGTACATCATCCCTTTCGATCTATCCTGTCAGTCACAACAGACCGCATCGCTACTCATATTTCTGATAAAAGAAATTCCCCCTTGTAGGAGTCATCTTCTGAAAATCATTTAGATATCATGACTGTTTTAGAACTTGATGAACATTTTGATATGCTACTACAAAGTGAATGGCATGACAGGTGTGCAAAACGTGCTACATGTTCTGCCTCTCATACATTTCACTGAGACGATAGTCAATCTGCATAAACCGTAGAGAGAACAAACAAATACATTTTTTGTGGCAATTTTGAACCCAAAATAAGTTGCATCTCAGGTTGATTCAGATTCAATTATTTAGCATTCCAATATAGACTCTTGGGGAATATTTATAGGAAAACGTAATTTTGGTGCTAATTGCAATTATGTAGATGCATATGAATGGTTAAATGGAGAACAGCTGAATCAGGTGACGGGTTGAATAAAGGGTCTCTTTTTGTTGACTAAAAGGTATTAAACAGGAAACCTTGAATTTCAAATGATATTTGTACAAGGAGTTACATTATGTCTTTAAATTTGGAATGGGCATAAATGTAATGTTCTATTTATCACATTATGCAAAATATTTTTGAGGTTATGAGGTTATGTCATCATATATGATGTCATTTAGTTATAACATAATTGTAATTGGAAATGACATTGCCTCATTAGCCAGGAATTCACAATATCAACTATTCCTTGACTGGCATTGCCTCCTTAGCCCAGATTACACAAAAGCAACTATTCCTTGACTAGCATTGCCTCATTAGCCCAGATTACACAAAAGCAACTATTCCTTGACTAGCATTGCCTCATTAGCCCAGATTACACAAAAGTAACTATTCCTTGACTGGCATTGCCTCATTAGCCCAGATTACACAAAAGCAACTATTCCTTGACTGGGATTGCCTCATTAGCCCAAATTACACAAAAGCAATTATTCCTTGTCCAGAATCTATGGCTTAACGGATATTTCTGGTGTCTATTAATCGGCGCTTTTATCTTTACCTTCCTCTACGATAACTATTTGTTTCAACTTCAGTTCTTTGCGTATGAGCTGAATCAGATGATGAAAATTTCCAAAGGTTTGGATCTGTTATTTATATTATGTCTTGTCTTCAGTTAGTAAAATGGTTTTGTTTAAAATATAACATATTATCCAAACAAAAACATTCACCATTCCCGAGTAATGCGCGATTTTCTTAACCTGATAGGGTATTTTTTTTAAGAATACATGATTCAGTCGAATTATTTGAGGTTAAATGTCAGAGGGCTACGACCGCTTTTGATTGGTTCTGTCAATCACTGTTGACTGTTCATATCTCTGATAATAGGGTTTACTCTTGTTCTCCTCATCATGAGCTTGTTAATCATGGTAGGTGTCTTATCCTCACATTTCTAAGGACAGAAAACATAAAGAAATATATGTTCGCAATACATTTTTCAAGATCTAAAATACTCGCTGTCTGATCTGCTTTCTGTTTTGACTCGCTGTCTGTTTTGCTAATTCTTTTCATGAGAGTGGTAATGAATCAAACGATTTTTTTATTTAACACCCCCCCCATAAATACAGAAAAGTCCGATGCGCTCGTTGGATTTTTGGGTATAGAAGTTTACTCTTCGTATTTATGTGTTTAGTTTCTTGTAAAATTCGTATATTATATACTTAACTATGATACTACAAATCTGTCACACATCAGTTAGGTTTGTTTGAGGTTGTTTTTTGTTTGTTTGTTTTATAGTGATAACAAAACTGAAATCATCATACAATATTTTCTATTTGCAAAACGAATGATATATTTTGCAATTTGATATATTCATTCTCATTTGTATATATTTTCACTGTTGTTCTCATTTACATATTCTTCATTTGCTTGTTGTATGCAGCATTATTCATCAATATGAGAACAAATCTTTCAATTTATTTGTTGTTTTTTGTTCTCTTTAAGGCAGTCAAATCAATATATGTCCTACATAATGGTTGGTAATTATAAAGGACTGCTCTGTACTTTAGTAATGTTTAGTAATGGTTGGTAATTAGAAAGGACTGTTCTGTACGTAAGTAATGGCTGGTAATTTGAAATGAATGCTCTGTACTTTAGTAATTGTTTGTAATTATTAAGGACTGTTCTGTACTTTAGTAATGGTTGGTAATGAGAAAGGAGTGATCTCTACTTTAGTAATCGTTGGTAATTGGAAAGGGCTGATCTAAACTTTAGTAATGGCTGCTTTAGTAATGGCTGGTAATTGGAAAGGGCTGATCTAAACTTTTGTAATGATTGGTAATGAGAAAAGACTGATTTGTACTTTAATATTCGTTGGTAATTGAAAAGGACTGATGTGAACTTTAGTAATGGTTACTTTTTGTAATTGGAAAGGACTCGTCCATACCTTAGTAATGGTTGGATTGCTTTGTACTGTAGTAATGGCTGGTAAATGGAAAGGACTGACCTGTACCTATGTCGAATTCAATCCTAACTCCATGAGATTTCTATGATAGACCTCGTATTTTATTTAAGTTTCAATGTGCACAGCATTTTCGATAAAGATGGCATGTTCTTTTATTTTCTGAATTATTTTTAAAATTCAAATAAATCTTCTTTATTTGGAACAGCTTTGTCATATGTAAGTGGGAAGATCTTGAAATCATCGTGCAGGAAGTTCTAAATCAACTTTTCATATGTGTCCGATATCAATGTCATTAGGGTAATCAACAACTATTTTCTACCTATTTAATTTCTTTTTCATGTCACCATCTGAAAGAGTTCACAGGTTAATGGTGACACAGCCGAATCCTACACGCCAGGTTGGTGTAAAGGAACATAGTAAGGGATCTCTATTTCTATTTTGTCTTATCATATTTGCTGTCATCTATATTTTTGTCATTTTTGTCATCTAGATATTAATAGCTTTAACACACACACACTATATATATATATATATATATATATATATATATATATATATATATATATATATATATATATATATATCAAAGTAAATAATGTGTGTGTTGCTATATATCTTTTGTATATATTATATGCATGACACTTGTCCATGACTGACGATAGAGTGTTAGTGTATAACTGATTCTAGTCTTTTTTGTAAATTGTTTAAGCGACTATGAGCTCATGAACAAGCGTTCATCATGATCTTAGAAGATCTAAAACCATCCTTATTTACAGTCTGCTGCAAATTTTCATTAATTTATTGAGGTTTTCAGAAAATGTTATTGCGACACAGGTCATGTGGGGATGTATATAAGGGTCAGATCAACAGGGTTATTCATTTTAATATTAGTCTTAGTGGAATCACTTATGTTGAATGAAGTTATAATTTGAGAAGAATTATTTATTTAAATTATTTTTTTTAGAGTTACAAAGTGCTCAATGTAATTTTGGACATAACAATATTTAGGAATTATTGTGAATTCATTGAAAGACATTCTGGATTTCATCATTGTCATACAAAATTTCAACTGGTATATCAGCATATTCAAGATAAGAGATTCATCAGGAATACACTATACTTTTGGACTTATAATAGAACCTTTAAGATTAGGTGGGATTTTTTCACCATGTTGTAAATCCCTTTTAAACTTCTACTTTGTATATTTTGAATTTAAATAAGCATGTTGGTTATACTTTATATTTTTACTTTGCTTAAGACAACTACTTATGTGGCCTAAGTGGTTAAAGCGTCCGCATCGAATGCGGCAGATCGCAAGTTCGAACCCTGGCAGCGTCATAAGAATGACATAATCATGGTACTAGCATCTGCTTTGCTAGGCGCTCAACATTGAGAGGTCAGTGTTAGGACTGTTTGGCCTCTGTGTCAGGATAGTGGGACTGGGTGGGACATGATGTTAAGACATCACTATAAAATGCCACACTAGGGACATCATAGGGATATGACTAAAATCACACCCACCCACCCACCCCCACCCACCCACACACTTTTAAACTATAAAACTGTAAGTATACTTATAAATATATACACACGTTGTTATATATATATATATATATATATATATATATATATATATATATATATATATATATATATATATATATATATATATATATTATAGATTTTGTAAGGGTCATTTAGTTAATTAAATTTTAATGCTAAGTAATTTGGTCTTAATACCATTGACAAGAGAGTCACTTAATATACCCTATAAATACTCATGGGCGGAGGAGAGTATTTTTCCACATAAATATGCTAGAACAGTGTTTTGAAAGAGGTAGCCCTGGAACGTATTTATTCAGTTTAGTAAAACTATTTCACACAACGAAGATTTAAACGAATACGTGAAATCAAAATGTAATAACCAATCTTCGAAATTCGGAAATATGGGCAATCTGGACCAGAAATCTTAACTTCTGCTGCCATAAGAGCAGAGTGAATTTCAACCGCTATTAGGAGAAAATGAGAACTTACTGACATATATTCTATATGAACACACAAACTCTACTGTGACGTTGAAACTGTAGATTCGACACCAGTGAAACACAATTCTTACAGGATGAATTCTCTTCAGCGAGACTGCTTGAAGTTTCAATATTTGCTGGAAAATCACTTCATCTAAGTAAAAGCAATTGGATGTACTGATTGCACAAATATGAACAGTGTCACGAAACAGTTTCATTTCCAATACCCGAAATAGATGACTGCAATGACAGAATTGGATATGCAAAATATCTCATCAAGTTTGATCTTTTGAATGAATTTGGGCAAATTACACGTACGGAAGGAGCAAATGAAATTTCAGTATTTGAGACATTTTGGTATGATATATTCTCCTTTAACTCTCCAACGTTTGATAAATAACGATACCAAGAAAGACGTCTTGGAAACCATTTAGAAGTTCTTTCCTTGACTGAATGGTGTAAATATAACATTTGTGAGACACTGTCAAATAAAACATATAGAGGTTAAAGTTACGGATATCTTTGAATTCCCTGTGCCAATTAGCAATAGGCAGCTGGTGCAAGTTTTGTGTGTGGCTCGATATTAAAGGAAATTTTGCTGTAATTACATAATTGCTAAACCCACGATCAATATGTTAAATAAGAAAACCAAGTATCATTGACCTGAAAAATGTCAGGAGGATTTTTTATACATTAAAGGTCATACTCAAGAATGGACCAGTTCTTTCAGCTCCAGATTTCAATAAATTATTTAAAATGTCTTTAGTTGCAAGTTATGTGGGAGTTAACGGAGTCTTAATACAGGTAGACAACAATGGTTTAGATCATATATGTGCTATTTTGTCAGAAACATTTAACAGCACACGAGAAAGTATTCCACGATTGGGAAGGGATATTTAACGATCACAATGGCCTTTCGACACTTTGAAGTGTCATCTTTCCATAGAGAGATTTAATTTTTAATATTATGCATTCGTAGTAGTACTATCAGACTTGGAAGAGTAATATGGAAAAGATTTATTCCTTTTATTTCGTTTAATAATTCGTTGGAATCACATTGCTCTAACATTAATTTAAAGTATATTTTGGATATATAATAGCCCTACGGGATTAACGTGATTTCATTTAAAGACATTTTGTATCGTTTGACTCTATGGACTAAAAGGAACAAAGAAAAAGCTGAAACCAAACACTTTCACACGAAACGTTGAATTATGTTGGTATGTAATATGACTTACAATACTTTATAGATTTTTGTAAGGTGTTAAAAGACGTGAACATTGCAACAAGTGTGTGTGTGTAATTTGTATTTTTAACGTAGCTTTAACAATTTTTCAGTTATATCTCTACGATGTCTGCAGTGTGGCAGTTTATAATGATGTCTAGCACTTGGGCATGATGCTCCAGACATGTTGCGTGATGTCCCGTCCAATCACGTTATCCTGACACCAGACCGACCGGTCCTAACATTAACCACTTCATGCTGTGCACCTAGCGAGGCAGCTGTTAGAACCATTTTTATGTCTTTAGTATGACTCGGTAAGGGTTCGAACAGGCGACATCCAATACATTGCAACAAATGGTATTAAAAGCAAGGAGAAAAGAGCATTGAAAAAGCACACGGTTATTTGCATCTGTGCTTGTGAATACTACGCACTCAGAAATGACAAAATCTGGAATGTAATTGTTACGGACTAAGTTTTATAGCTTATTTGATTTGTAAATTTTCTGACGTGTTTATGTCAGTCCAACAAGATTAACGACTTTCCTTGAATAAACATCTACTGTTCTACCGACTATATAAAGAGCTTTCAATTTTTTTTAGGGATCCGTATGTTAATTTACAATAATATCATAACTTTATCTTCTTCCTACCCGTGCGAGACTATTGCCTTAACTAGATACGACATTATTTTGTGCCTACAAGGCACGAGACTGTTGTCGAAACTAGATATGACAATATTATCCTGTTCCTAACCAGCGCGACACTATTGCCTAAACTAGATACGACTATATTATTATATTCCTACCCGACGTGAGACTGTTGTCTAGACTAGATACGACAATATTATTATATTCCTACCCGACGTGAGACTGTTCTCTAGACTAGATATGACAATATTATTCTATTCCTACCCGATGTGAGACTGTTGTCTAGACTAGATTTTGCCTCCTTATGCGGCAGTTGAGCTACTAATACCACATAGCTATCAATTTTTATTGAGATGGAAAAATATATCAAACCATTTTATTATGAGGCATTTGAGATGGAAAAATATATCAAAGCATTTTTATTATGAGGTATTTGAGATGGAAAAATATATCAAAGCATTTTTATTATGAGGTATTTGAGATGGAAAATATCTCGAAGCATTTTTACTATGAGGCATTGGAGATGGAAAAATATCTCAAAGCATTTTTATTATGAGGCACTTAAGATGGAAAAATATCTCAAAGCATTTTTATTATGAAGCATTTGAGATGGAAAAATATCTCAAAGCATTTTTATTATGAGACTTTTGAGATGGAAAAATATATCAAAGCATTTTTCTTATGAGGCATTTGAGATGAAAAAATATATCAAAGCATTTTTATTATGAGGCATTTGAGATGAAAAAATATCTCAAAGCAGAGCATTTTCATTATGAGGAACTAGGGATGAAAAAATACCACAAAGCACTGTATGTTCATTGGTAGCACTTATTTAAATAAATAAATAAAAAATACACCTGGTATTAACTGGGCCACCTAGTGCACAAAACAGCATTATTCGTATTGATGTTTACAAACAATGAATTAGTGGTCTTAACTCGGCAGTTCTACAATTAATATATATATATATATATATATATATATATATATATATATATATATATATATATATATATATATATATATATATATATATATATATATATATATATATATATATATATATATATCGATTATTCATACATATGTAACACAATTAAATACATAATTGTAACTTCTTGTGGACGTATTTATTGAATTTTTCTTTTAAAGGACGTGTGCAGACTCACCAAGACTATATTATCTTTCACTTATTTAGTTGAAACATATCATATTGCCTTATACTGAAGCGAAAGGATCGGACATAAGGTCACCACATAAACCCGTCTTCATAAAAGCGTAATCTTTATGGAGGAATTTTGAAATCATATTACATGCTAGACCTTTATAATTTCCTTATTACAACAACGGGAATGGGTAATGGGGGGTAGGTGAATAATGAATTATATCAATAGTTAAATGACAAAAATGGCAAATAAAGAACTCATCTGATGATATACGGTCATTTAGAGCTGCACCGTCTTGACCCTTTATGGAAGCTCGCTTAAAGTTTGATTCGTCAGGTACTACCTCGTCATCTCTGTTAGTATAACACTTTTCAGGTAGACGGAATGGGAAAGGTACACCCTAATCAATTGCCAGGTAATAAATCTATTTGTAAAGCTATCAGTGTTTATTATACGAATTTCTCTTACAAGATAAATAAAACGAATAATAAGGTTAACCAGGTGAGTCAGAAAGACGTTCACTCACCTTAAAAATGTTCATCATATAGCATGTTTTTATCATAAACTAGTTTTGCTACCTCAATATCTCACTCCAACGATGCAGTTCATCTACATTAGAAAACGTGTATGTCTTTAAGAGACAAATCATGGGAAAGTTTTTAAACTTAAAAAAAAATACCCACAATTTCTATTCAGGAAAATATCCCTCAACCTTTCCAAAAGTATTGCACATAATTTTGACTATCGGATACTTTTGCCATTCTTACTCATTTTTAATTTTCTTCAGTTGTAATTGATAATTTCGTCATATGCCCTAAAATAGGCTTAACGCTCGGTTCCGGTAAGGGTAAACATTTGGTTTGCTCAGGTTTTTTCCTTCATCTTGCTTTTACCAGTATCCAATTTCTTTATCATAGAATTTCTCAAAATGAATCTATGCAAATCTTTGGAATACAATTCAACATTTTTATTGGTTCTAAAATATGTAGTTTTAAGACAAAAAATATAAGGCTTGAAGGATTATCAAAGACAAATGTCTAAATGGATAAAAACTAAGTATATCACCTATTCGAATGAGTTAGCTGAGTTTGGTTGGTTGAATGCCGGGGATGATATCATGTGGAAATTATCAATTTTACTCTCGCCTTGTCAATTGATTTATCTTAACTTTCAGTGAGATATAGTACAAATGCTGGTGGAACGTTTCAGCAGCTGCATTAATTAAAGTGAAATTGACAAGTCAGACTACATCACCCACAGATTACAAGGTGCTTGGTTTAGT